TCCTTTTTGTGGTTGCTGAGAGTCACAGAAGCCATCAGGATCAGGAATGAGACGGGAAAGGGAAGAAGAAGAAAGGAGCCATTTTTTAAAAATTTTTTTTATTATATTATGTTAATCACCATACATTACATCATTAGTTTTTGATGTAGTGTTCCATGATTCGTTGTTTGCGTATAACACCCAGTGCTCCATTCAGTACGTGCCCTCTTTAATACCCATCACCAGGCTAACCCATCCCCCCACCGCCCTCCCCTCTGGAACCCTCAGTTTGTTTCTCAGAGTCCATACAAAGGAGCCATTTTTAAATGAGGCAAGATCTTGCTTGAGATCGTGTGCCTACTCATCCTAGAAGCCAACAGCGCAGAGAAACAAATTAATAATGTTCTAGTTTCAGGACATTCTAATTTTTAGGAACTATAAGAATTCAAACCCAGAGGGACTTCAATTCACACCCACTGGACAACACATTTTCATCTTTGTGGTAATCCTGGAGACTATATCAACGGGCTTCTGAAAGAGAATGGAAAAATATATACATACATATATATGTCTATCTGAAAAGAAAGCTGTAATTACTACCATAAATGAACAATTCCCTGTATTTGCCACAAATCTCTCTTTAATGAACTGCAACCTATTCATTAAATGAGAGGGAAAAAATATGAGGACAGGAAATGGGAAGGAGTGGGCTATGGGGGCAGGAGAGAAGGTGGCAGAAATCACTTTATTTCGAACAGGAGGCAGTGAGACACAAATACAATCAAAGGGGTTAATCTAATCCCTTTGTGAAGCATTGAGTCAGAGAACAAGACAAAAACAAACCTGTGATCTGGAACTTCCCAAGCCCCCACTCGGGGGGATTAATGAGGAGTACACGGCTGTGAAATTACGTGCCCTCTGAGTCAGGAAAATGGTCCTACTGGTGCATGACCTTGAAATGAGGGGATGCAAACTTCACCTGATCCACAATTACCAAGCCCTGGGAGGAGGGGCTCAGGGAGAAGAGAGGACATGAGGCTGTGCGAATGTTCAGAATATGAAAACCCACAAACCTCAACCAACCTGAGGCTTGAAGGGGGATCAAAACACAACATGAAATATTCAGAGGACTTTCAAAGGACGCTAGCATTTGTGTGGAAGCACAAGGGGGCAAGCCTGTCCTCTTTATTTACACGAAGTGGATATTTTGTGGCTGTTGTTATGGACTTAGCGATGTTTGTCTCTGTTCAATTTTCCCTTTGCAATGAAAAATTGTTGCGAGATGATTTCTAGTCTTAGCTGCTTTACATGACAGTATTATCAAGGATTCATCAAGAGGCCATCTGTCGAATTTATGAAAAAAATATGCAAAAACAAAACAGATGAAAAGGAAAGAGCAAGACAGACTGGTCCAGGGGAAGATAGATGTGGCAGCATGTGCCTCCGTGTGAAAATTACAGCATTTAAATGCTGCAGAATAAATTACCGTGCCGAAAACTTAGTGGTGCTCTCCCACTGTAGACGCTGCCCTTACCATAAAAACATAATGAAATATATCACATTATCAGATCACCCTTTCCTCAGACTATTACTATATTCTAATGAAAAATTAGGAGAGGAGAGACACATAAACCTCAAATGGGAGGGATGAAAATGAGCTAGAGTGGATTTGCTCTAGTATCGAGCCATGAGAAGCTTCTCCAAAATGCACAGTCCATATGGAAATAAGAGCTTTGCCCCCCTATTTATTAGAAAGTCAATAAAATAAATTACAGATTGTGTGAAAAACTGAAATAATATATATTAAAATGACAACGAGGCTGGCAGAGCTTACAGCCAAATTAGATGGGCTGTAAAAACAATGTATTTCAGAAAAGAAATAGGAGGGGACATGAGGATACAGACAAATGACCAGTCTCACTTGCTCCTGGAGAAGGAAGGACCCAGTGAGCAACTCGGCCAGATCTGAGCATGTGGGGACAGATGCCTAGCAGAGCACAGCAAGAGGGTAGCTTCCTTTGAAGTTTGTTTCCAGCCCCTAGCTCTCCTACTGGCTTTCTCTTCCCCTTGGGGGCCATCTTCCTTCCCAGTCCTCACCATCTCACCTACCCCTCCTAGAGTTTGATCAATAGGAAAACTTCTATTTTAGTGCCTTAAGGAGATGTTTAGCAGTGCTGCTAAATAATGTATTAAATTATAAAGCTCCAAACACACAATAAAAATAATAGTTGGCATGGGCCCCTAAATTTCAAAGGAATGAGAGAAAAAAGTGAAGTCCTATCTCACCAAGAGCCAGTGAGGGTAATGAGCTCACAGTGGAAAATGGTGAAAAATAATAGTACTAGCCAACACTAGTCAGTGCTGTGCATTAAATAACTAATTTAACCCTTGCACTAACCCTATGAGATGATTTACCATTTATTACTGTTCCTCATTTCACAGATGGAGAAATTGAAGCACAGTGAGATATAAGTATCCCATCCAAAAATCACACAGCTATGGTACGGAGATTTGGGTTCAGAGCACGTGCTTCATTCCACCAAACTGTAATGCCTCCCATTAGGAAGGCAGCAGAGGTATCTCATTTATTTTGTTTGAAATGTTACAAATTCTTCAATAAAGAAATATAAGTATAAAGATGATCCCTTTGAAATTAAGTTAGACCATATCATCCCTCAGACTGTTGTGAACTACAATCCTAAACAGCCCCAGCTCTCTCTCCTAGTTACTCCCTTTCTGATAAGTGGAGGATACATACTTAGAAGTGTTCCCTTCTATCTATTATGGGACTAAATAAAATAATGATAATAAAGGTAAAGAAATTTTAAAAATAAAGGCCAAGAATACTGTGTCAACAAAAGATGGAAGGTGAAAAAAGAAGCCCAAAGGTCTGGTTTAAGGGAATTCCTTAGAACTAAATTAGGTCTTCCCAGGATGCTCTCCACTTTGACTTCCCATACTGGGAAATCCTGAAACATTTTAGATCTATGGTATGGGAGTTTGTAAACATTTTATCAATATAACCTAAAAGTTTCTGATCAACAATGAACATCTGATTAAATATTTCACATCTGATTGAAAATGAAAAATAATTTCAGCATGCAAGTATGCAAATAACACTACAGATCCTGTATAAGACAATGTTATCTGTGCTGGTCCTGGCAAGACATTTAAGTTGAAGTTTTCTTTTACGTATACTTCCAACATAAACAGAGAGTTGACCAAATTTAATTTTATTTTCAACTTCGCTTTTACCTTTTATGGAATTATGATCATCTGTAAATAAGTACTGGAGTATATCACTTCAGGAAGATTTCTGTCTCAACTCAGCTGTTACAGGTGGTAACAAGATTAACTACTTCTTTTGAAAAACACCAACTGGATATCCAATAATAGAATGGGTCCTCCTATGGAAGATCTCAGCCGCAGCAAGACTAGGTGATACCATCAGTCATATGTCCCTCCCTTCTTTCACTCTCTCTTACAATGTCCTGCACAATAGACATTGACAACCCTTCCTGAACATATAAAAACCAATTCTGATATATTATTTTTCAAATTACAAGTATAGTGGAATCATACTCATTGGACATCTCATGTAAGGCCAGCCAGCCCTTAACCTTAAATTAACATCTGTCTAAAATGCCCCCTAAACTGGGAACAAGGTAACAGACTGACCCTCTCATCCCTGCTACTAACAAGTCCTTTGGCTTAATAAATCAAAATATCTAATATCTAATAAACATGTGTTTATTGGATTGAAGCAACTCCTTGATTTATTTTTTGTAATTTATCTACTTAACTAAAATTCATTTATAACATTTGTAAGTTAATTAATTTATAACATTTCTCCTATGTGAATATAAAAGTAAATCATTCAGGGATACTATCCTTCAACTTATAGCAGGAAAACACATAACATCATAGGCATTTCAAACTTGATCTGTCCTAAACGGAACTCCTATTTTTTATTCCCAGAAACTGTCCCTCTCCCAGCATTCATTATTGCTAAAAATGTCACCATCATTCACCCAGTTTCTTAAGCCAGAAATCCTGGATCATCCTTGCCTCTACTCTCTCTCTTGCTGACTCACTACTGGCATTTCTGAACACCTTGCTATACCACCATCTGTAAAACGAGAAGAGCAATATTCACTAGCTTCGATTTTGGGGAAGGCTTTGATGCCTCTTCTGCAGTGAAACTTTTACACACATACACACAAAAAATTCATAAAGTGAAAAATAGGTGATTATTGTAATACTGAGAACTAAACAGAGACTGAAGATAACTGTGTCCAAAATATTCTAAGTTACCATATTTCATTGGGGGGGTATTTTTATAGAATATACTTCAAATATTGAAGCATCTGTATTAAGGCTCCTATAATTATATCCAAAAAATGTAGATGTGATAACCCCTAACACCTGCATGGGGCTAAACATGTGTCAGTCCTATTCTTAGTTTAACGATAATATTTTATGTTCGTACTGTAGTTTATAATGGCTTTCATGCCCATCATGTCATTTCTCCCTTACCACAGCATCATGACAACTATTACTGCATTTTACAGATGGAAGTGCTGGTTAACTTGCCCAAGGTCACTTAGTGTGTCATTGCTAAAATTCAACCCAGAACCTCAGTTTCCCAATGCCTGGTACAGCGCTAATATTATTAGAACTTTCTCTGGGCAATCCTTACCCTATGAAATCAGTAGAAGATCCCAAACATGTATACATTCTCACACACACACACATGCACTACACATGCATGCACCTATGCACACGTGTGCACACACATACATGCACACATGTACACACACACTGAGTTTCTTTTTTATTTTTTAAAGATTTATTTATTTATTTTAGGGGGCGGGGAGGGGCAAAGGGAGAGGGAGAGAGAGGATCCCAAGAACACTCCCCACCGAGCACAGAGCCCGATGTGGGGCTCAATCCCATGACCCTGACCGAGATCATGACCTGAGCTGAAACCAAGAGTTGGGACGCTCAACCGACCGAGCCAACCAGGTGCCCCTACCCACTGAGTCTCTTTATGGTCACCAAAGAGTCAGGCTCTTTCTGGGAACCCACAGCCACCACTGAATTCAGTGATTTGCCTGCCTCACTCCCTAAGACTAGGGTATTTCATGAGAAAGCTGAAAGGTATCACCTAAGACCCCGTTAATGCACATTAAATTAGTTTCCCAGTGCATGACACCACCCACAATGGAGTCGTTGACACCAATAAGGGAGGCCGCCCAGCCTCCTTGGCTGGGCTCATGGAGGAGAGAGAGCTCAGCCTCAGGCAGAGCAGCGCATGAAGCCAGAGCTCTAAGGCAAACATCCTGAGGAGTCGTCCTGGCCTTGGGTTGTACTTGGGCCCATTTTGTTCATTTTAAAGCTACTGCCTTTAATAGAACAAATCTCTTTTGATCTGTGCCTGCTCAGCATGTGGAGAGAGGCTGAGAGAGTTCGTGTTATCTTAGTTTAATAACTGTTACACCAAATAAACACTATGCACACCACTCAGCCTTCTAGAAATGGAAAATAAATCATCACCAAAAAGCTTATTTTACAAACCCACAAATCATCAGAAATATAAATGCTTTCCTTTCTATTCCCATGTTTTAATAAAGACTCCCCCCTCCTTTTTTTTAGACGCACTCAATTACAATATCACTATCAGTTCACATTACAGGTCAGAGATACGGCGCTTAATGTATGTAGAGCCTGTTCTCCTCTCCTAATAACCTGTCATTCCGGGGATTTGAATGTCAGAACACAGCCTGCCGCAGTAATGCTAGTCGGCAGCCCGATGATGAAAACTTTGGACAAATCATGAAGAACATTCCAGATCCACATCATCGGAAGGTTACCGGGGAGAGCCTTTCATTCTGCTTTGACCCCTTGATCTGACAAGTGACACCTACAAAATGAACAGCTCTCCAACTTAAATTGTTTAACTGTAGCCTGATCAGTTTTATTATCTTGCTAATCCGGATATCAGCCGTTTCATCAGAATGGAAGATATGCATATCATGAATTATTTTGACACGGGGACCTTTTAATTTTTGCCAGCAATATTTCACTGCCCCAATCAGGGCCTGCAGTCACTGGTGCTGTTCACCTCCTGGGATGTCAGAGGACAGCGCACTCCTGACAGCACCAAATCATCCGGGAGCTGGAACGAGCCGTTGCTGCAATTATTATTGTCTTCCGTAGTCATGCATTTCATTACAGCGCCGGCAGCCAGGGCCTTGGGGTTCAGGGCAGCCTTCTCCAGGAAGCTCTGCCATTTTATGGGCTCGCCGAGCTCTGGGGTGTGATTTCCCTTTTCCTTCCCCTCAGTAGACAAGGCGAGGTGAATTTCTAATAAAAGCAAAACACTAGGTGGGGAATGCGGGAAGAGCAAGCTCAGTACAGGACATTAAGCGGCGGTGAGGCAGCTTGAATGGCCCACTTACAGTTTACGAAAGCAGTGGTTAATCAGCAATACGGTTTGCCACAGAGGGAAATAAAGAACAGTTTATCCTGGGGGGAAAAAAATGCTCCTTTCTAAATTGCAATGTGCTCAGAACGTTTTCTTAAAGAAAATTCCCTTTTCCCTTAGATGCGTTTCTTAATTTCTCTCTCCCCTGCTGACCATTTTCTTCTTCTGAATTGCCATCCGAAGAGGATCCAGCCCCACTCCAAGCCTGACCGCATGGTCTGCATCACCGACCTGTGCTCTGGCCCTGTGCCATCGTCTGCACTGAACAGCCCCCGGAAACACACTGTTATCTTTACTCTGAGGCGACTATGGATCCTGTTGCTCATCAAAACACAGAGCACCTTCTTCATAAGTACCCATGGGAGAAAGTTTTTTCTAGTCTCACAAACAACTAACTGGTCCCTGTTTACCTTGAGAGCACCGGGAATCATATAATTTATTATGCTTCCTTTCTTGAGAAGATGGCTAGAAACCTCAAAACTAAATTTGCTATTCCCCAAAATATTAAACATAGAACTACCATATGATCCAGCAACTCCACTCTGGGTAAACATCCAAAAGAATTGAGAGCAAGGACTCAAACAGGTATTTGTTCACCCATGTTGACAGCAGTATTATTCACAACAGCCAAGAGGTGGAAGTAACCTAAGTGTCCACTGATGGATGAATGAATAAACAAAGGGTGGCATATACATACAATAGAATATTATTCAGCTTTGAAAAGTAGTGAAATTCTCACACAGGCTACAACATGGATGAACCTTGACTACATATGCTAAGTGAAGCCAGTCACAGAAGGGCACAAGTACTGTATGATTTCACTTCCATAAGATAAAAGCACTCAGATTCATAGAGAGAAGTAAAATGGTAATTATCAGGGGCTGGAGAGAGAGAAACGAGAAGTTATTATTTAATAGGTAGTTTCAGTTTGGGATGATGAAAAAGTTCTGGACATGGATGGAGGCGATGGTTGCAGAACAATGTGAATGTCCTAGTGTCACTGAACTACACACTTTAAAATAGGTAAAATGGTAAATTTTATGGTATGTTTATTTTACCAGTCTTTTAAAAAATTAACTTTGCAGCCAATCTCTAGCAAATGTAAAGCATCCCATAGAATGCATACTTATCTCATTACTGCCTTTATTTATTCTTCCTACGCTTACGTTATCTTTGCTTTATTTTCTTCACTGACTCTTTTAAAATATTATTTTATTGTTGTGTTAGTTTTTATAGTACGATGACTTAAATTTTTTTTTTGGCAGAACAAGGAAGGATTTCCATATTAAAGTACACTCAGTCTGGCAAGACAAAGCTGTTGGTGATTGTGTCCCAGAGAAAGAGTGAGAAATACATTATTTCTGAAGTCCATTAGTGACACTGAGATAAGAAGGGAAACCTCTGAGAGGGAAGTCTAGGAAGTCTCACTCCTCCTTGAGTTGGGGAGACCCCTCCCTCCCCAGTGCCCCCAGAAGACTTTGTACAGAGCTCCCCTGGGCCCTTTCGCCCAGCACGGTATCAATATGCATCATTTCTCTCCCCCACTCCCAGCCAGCCTCATGGCGTTCTACCTGCAGGCTTGCAGAGCCCCATGCTCAGAAGGGTGCTTGGCTTAGTGCTCTACTGTCAAATAGTGAATTTCTTAATAACTTCTCAGCAAAGAGCTCCAAGTTTTCATTTTGGACCCCACAAATCCTGCAAAGTCGCAAATTATGTAGTTGGTCTTACCTCCCCCAGACAGTAAGCATCTCAGGGGAAAGAAATCCATCTTACTTTTCTTTACATCACCAGTGCTTGATAGGCAAGTCCACGGAGAGAGTCAATAAATATTTGCTGCACAAACAATGATGGAAACTATACGAAGCCCTTGTTTTCACAGTACTAAGTATTCCTTCTTAATGATCGTATATCAATCCCACTCCAGAAAAAAAGCCTGCAAACACAGGAAGGACAGGCTTCTTGGAGGAAAAGGAAGGTTTATGGATGTGACCAAGAATAAAGAAGACACAGTGTCCCTTAGTCTTTCCTAGACTGGAATCCATACGTGGAATTCACCTCTGATGTGAGAAATGGGCTGTGTGTTGCAGCCTGAGCTCTAGTGGTTATATCCCAAGCTCCAGCCTCTTTAAGACAGAACCTTGCAGAGGTTCATCTAATATTGACACTGTTTTTTTTAAACTCTCCCGAGATGTGATTTTCACAGCTTCCCTAGATAACACAACTTAGCCACCCCATTATTCTTCACAATTTCCCTGGGACATAAGGCTTTCATAGCTCTCCATTTAACAAGACAGAAATACAGAGAAAGGGAACAGAGCTGGAAGAAAATCATGAGGAAAGGAAAGAGAAAGCTAAGCAAGGAAGACAGACATGCAGACAGAAAGAAAAACAGCCACTGTGGATCACGGCTCATGACTCACAGCTCACTTCAGGTGCAAGGCCTTTACGATCTTCAACTTCCAGAGAAAGTTTGTCCAGTAGCTGAGGCTTCCAGATCATTTATTTTCATTTCCCAGAACCTAAGAAAATATGAAGAAATATCAACCAAAGAATGGCCATTTAGTATCTTTGAAATCTGTCATATACTTTCTACCTACATTAGGATTAGGGGCCAGAGTAAATCCAAGACATTAATTTGAGGCAGGAAATGGGAAACACAGAAAATTGGGTATGTGGAGGGTAAAGAGGGGATACAAGAGGAAATGGCGTCCAGGGCAGCGTTTTCTAATGTGCAGACTTTCCCTAAGCCATCCCCCACCCACATGCTCACTCGGTTCCTAACAGCATCTTCATCAATTAAGATTCTATGAGACTGGCAGGCTCCAAGATCAACAGTACCATCCACATATTCACTATTCCACTGGCAAGGCGAACAATTCCGAATATTAAAAGTAAAGCAACACGTTCTGCCATGTCTTTTGTATACAGACAGCTGAAGCTACGTGAAAGTTTGGCACCAAAAGGCCAAGTACCATATTTTCAGCCACCCACACGCCAAACCCCATAATAACTACAGACTCTAGATGTGAAATTTTCAGACATTCGCAGTGAAGGAAAACTAATAGTCATGTTTCTTCATGTGCTTCCTTTCCTAACAGGGCAGTTTCTCAACTTTAAAACCTCGTCAATGTAAGCTAAAGAGAACAAAGGGTGCTGCGGAGATATTTTCACCAGATGTCAAATCGTGCTTATTTATTTAAACAGAAAACCCCACTTTGTACATTTGGTTCATGTAGTGGTATGTGCTCTGTAACAAGTATTTTTATGAGTAAAAAGCTGCCACCAGTGCGCTTAAGTTACAATAGGGCTTCAGAAAAGTCTGTTAGCTGAGACTAAATACTGCTCTTTTTGCTTTTGGTTGAAATGTAAATTCCACTGCCGTCCTCCCTCTATTATAGGAGAAACATTGTTGCTTAAAGTCATACCAGGACTAATACTTACTTCTCCTGTGGTCAAACCTAGAAGCAAAGATATTCAGTTCACTGTGCTTTTTAAGGTAGGTATATATGCTACAGAGCATTGATTTTCTCAAACATTAACAACAGAAAATATATCAATTCCCTCTTGGGTGAATAACCGGGCTCCTGGGACCTGAATGAGTCATCAGAACCTACAGGCTGAGAGCTTGTGTTGCCCGCTGAGTGAGGATAATAAAATGGGTTATCCAGCACTCTTCTGAGCCTCTGCAAATAAGGAGAATGTTAACTTGTTCTATAAAAGAAGGGCCTGTATGTCCCTCATTGTGCCAGAAGAAAATGTAATTTTAGGTCAGACCCTGGTCAAGGAGTGTCTCCACCTGTCAAAGATAAGGTGTTTCAGATACCCCTCCTACCAACAAGGTGAGAGACAGTTGGACAGAGATCACACCTGGCAAAGATTTGAAAAAGACAAAAAAGCTTCAGAGATAAGCAAATATAGAAGGAATGTATTCCTAGATTATCAAGTAATCAACACCAGATTCTACAGAGCACAGTGCAGAGTACAATGGATAAAAAGCATTTTATAGAGAACTTTGAACAAGTACAAAAAAGATCTGTGTATTTTCTGGTGCCTTCGGGTCCCTGGTATAAGAAGGAATCTCACAGCACAGAAGGGCCTGAAGGATAAATGAAGGGGAGAACTTAGGACAATGGAAGAAGGGGAGCCCTAGCTGAGTTTGAACAAAGACTATTCACTTACTTCTATTTGGTGAAGTGTTTTCACCAGTTCCTGGATGAGGAGAAATTGGCAGATTAAACCAGCATTACTGTGTGTGTTATCATAATATACATATTAGATATATAATATCTAGTACATAATATGGTACCCATATAGGATAATACAGTGTACATAATTTTATTTAATATAACTTTTCAGTAAAATGTACATAGTTCTCATCTCATGCTATGTCTTACCCATTTTTAACTTTTCTTTTTCAAACCCAGGATTATATAATCCATTCAACTTTATGTTAAAATTAGAAATCTAGATAAACAGGGCCAAAATAATACTGTAGTGAAGATTTAGACCTATTAGATAGTATTTACCAGATATCCATTGATGGACTATCATAGATATCCCCTGGTGATGTGGCATCTCATACAGAATGCTAACTTAACTTCCTTCTCTATCAGGATAGTGGCTTACTTACATTTCCTAAGAAAACCCGCCACTATAAAACACCTAGAAATATGGATCATTTTTTAAATTCTTTTAAATGAATGTATGATCCAAAAAAAGTAAGCAAAATCTCTGGGGGCCAAAAGTAAAGAGGAAACTGAAAACCCGAGTGGTGAGCCATCTCTGAGCTTTTTACTGCATTGAAAACATCCATTATTCACCAAAAGCAAGGTTGTGTTTTAATAAGGCCAAATAAGGACAGAACACATGGCTTTGGGCCTAAATGTAGGTAGTTATAATGGAGTCCCCCTATAATCAGAAATTTTCAAAAATTTCCGAGAAAGAGGATGTGAGGGCGATCTTTCTTTTAAAAAAAAGATCTTATTCCTTTATTTGAGAGACAGCATGTGTGAGCAGGGGGAAGGGGCAGAGGGAGAAGCAGACTCCCCAATGAGCAGGGAACCCAATGCGGGAGTCAATCCCAGGACTCTGGGATCATGACCTGAGCCGAGGGCAGATGCCCAACAGACTAAGCCACTCAGGCGCCCTGTGAGGGCGATCTTGCTACAACATCTGTCACCTCAATGACTGCCAGGGTTGATTCAGCAGATCTGGCTCACTAGGCGAGTGTCCCTGTCCTCCCTCACTGCTCCATGTGCATTACTCCCCAAGCTGAGACTGGGTCAAAGAGAACGACCTTCCCCGATTGAGAAGGACCACTCTTGGGTCAAAGGTATACAAATAGCTGCACTCCCCTGTTAGAACCTCCAAACAAACTCTCAAGGTCCATTTGTAGGAGAACATAGGGTAGTCAAGCTTCCAAGACTCCAGACACAACCAAATGAGGCTCTGCATGTGGCAGTCTGCCTTTCTTTAAAAAAAAAAAAAAAAGTTTTTCAGAGAAAGAGGAAGCTAAAAAAATACCAAATCTCCAACTTTTAATCATATATTATCTATTTTCAATCCCAGTCTATACCTCAGGTTTAAAAAACAAAAAACAGAGGCGCCTGGGTGGCTCAGTCAGTTAAGTGACCGACTCTTAATTTCAGCTCAGGTCAGGGTCTTGGGATCCAGCCCTGCAGTGGGCTCCATGCTCAGCGGGGAGTCTGCTTGAGATTCTCTTTCCCTCTCTGCTTCTCCCCCTTTTCTCTCCCTCTCAAATAAATCTTTAAAAAAAAAAATAGGGGCACCTGGGTGGCTCAGTAGGTTGAGCGACCAACTCTTAGTTTTGGTTCAGGGATCAAGCCCTGCATTGAGCTCTGTACTCAGCAGGGAGTCTGCTTAAAGGATTCTCTCCCTCTGCCAGTCCCCCCACATGCTCACGTTCTCTCTCTCTCAAATAAATAAATCTTAAAAAAATAAAAAAGAAATTAAAAAAATACCAGCTCTAGAGGGCACGTGATGTAATAAGCACTGGGTATTATATAAGACTGATGAATCACTGAACTCTACCTCTGAAACTAATAATACACTCTATGTTAATTAATTGAATTTAAATTAAAAAAAAAAAAACAATACCAGCTCTACTGTTGGAGAATATGGAAATCCAGGCCTGTATCATGGTCCAGAAATTTGAGATATCAACATAAAAAGTAGTTCCTAACTTGTAATACTCCTCTAAAACACCTAAAAGAACCAAACATAAAATCTCCCTTAAGAGATACAGCCTCTATACCGTCAATCAAGGGTCACAATGGTAACTCTATGTATCCTATTTTGAGGAACTGCCAAACCGTTTTTCAAAGTGGCTACAAAATTTTACATTCCCACCAGCAATGCATGTAACTGTCAATTTCTCCACATCCTTGGCAACATTTGTTATTGTCTACCTTGTTTTAGCAATCCTAGTGGGTGTGAAGTGGTATGGCACTGTGGTTTTATCTTTTCTCTAATGAGTAATGATATGGAGCACCTTTTAATGTGCTTATTGGCCATTTGTATATCTCCTGTGGATAATATCTACTCAAATCATTGGCCCATTTTTAAATTGGACTATATGTGCTGGTTTTGTTGTTCATTTGTAAAAGTTCTTTATATATTCTGAACACAAGTTTCTAGTCAAATGTATTATTTACACATATTTTCTTCCATTTTGTGGATTATATTTTCACTTTTTTTATAATGTCTGTTGAGGCCCAAAAGTTTTTGAATTTTAAATAGATTTTACTTTTTAGAGCAATTTTAGGTTTGCAGGAAAACTAACTAGAAGCTACAGAGATTTCCCATCCTGCCCCCACTTATACATGGCCTCCTCCATTATTAACATCCCCCCATCAAAGTGGTACATCATCACCCGAAAGCCACAGTTTACATTACAGTTCACTCTTGGTGTTGTACGGTCTACTGGTTTGGACAAATGCATAATAACATATTCACCATTATAGTATCATACAGAGTAATTTTGCTACCCTAAAAAATCCTCAGTGTTCCAACTGTTCATCTTTCCTTCCCCTTAAATCCTGGCAACTACTGCTCTTTTTACCATCTCCATAGTTTTCCCTTTTCCAGAACATCATATAGTTGGAATCATACAATATATAGTATTTCCAGACTGGCTTCTTTCACTTAGTAGCATGCATTTAAGTTTCTTTCATGTTTTTTCATGGCTTGATAACCCATTTCTTTTTAGTGTTGAATAACAATCCACTGTTTGGCTGTACCACAATTTATTTACCTATTCACTTACTGAAGGGCATCTTGATTGCTTCAAGTTTTGACAATTATGAATACAGCTGCTATACACATCCATGTTCAGATTTTTCTGTGGACGTAAGTTTTCAACTCCTTTGCTTAAATACCAATAAGCATGATTACTAGCTTATATGGTAAGAGTATGTTTACTTTTGTAGGAAATTGCCAAATATCTTCCAAAGTAGCTGTATCATTCTGTGTTCCCACTAGCAATGAATGACAGTTCCCC